TGCAATTGTAAAATGTGACTTTGCAGTCTTTTTTATTTTTTGTACTGTTAACACAATGTTGTTATGCCTAATAATACTTACATTAAGTATTGTTATTATGTTATCTATGTTATTAAAGTACAGTGGTACCTCTAGTTACGAACTTAATCCGTTCCGTGACTCTGATTGCAACTCGAGTTGGTCTCAAGTCGAGGTAAAGTTTCCCATAAGGTTCAGTGTAAATCCGTTTAATCCATTCCACCCTCTGAATTCGGTCGCACCACAAGGCAAATTTCCCCATAAGGTTCAATGTAAATACGGCTAATCCGCCCTCCGAATTTGGGCGCACCCCGGGGTAAATTTCCCCCATAAGGCTCAATGTAAATACGGCTAATCCGCCCTCCGAATTTGGGCGCACCCCGGGGTAAATTTCCCCCATAAGGCTCAATGTAAATACGGCTAATCCGCCCTCCGAATTTGGGCGCACCCCGGGGTAAATTTCCCCCATAAGGCTCAATGTAAATACGGCTAAACAGTTCTGAAACATATGCATTTTATTTTTAAACCTCAAAAACCTGCCAAACGGCACAAAACACACCACAAGCCTCACCGAACGTCTCCTTGCTACCATGATCTCGCCCACAGGAAGCCGCAACCGCGTGGCAGCAGGGAAAATGGCCGCGGGTCCGGTTCGTAAGTAGAGGCAGAGTTCGTAAGGAGAGGTAAATTTTTAGGGTCGGAGCTGGTCGTATCTCAAAAAATTCGTAAGTAGGGGCGTTCGTAAGTAGAGGCAGAGTTCGTAAGGAGAGGTAAATTTTTAGGGTCGGAGCTGGTCGTATCTCAAAAAATTCGTAAGTAGGGGCGTTCGTAAGTAGAGGCAGAGTTCGTAAGGAGAGGTAAATTTTTAGGGTCGGAGCTGGTCGTATCTCAAAAAATTCGTAAGTAGGGGCGTTCGTAAGTAGAGGTACCACTGTATTTATTATATATTATGTTATTAAGGTATTATGTATTTATGTTATTAAAGATGTTTTAAAATGTTAAAAATTTGTTCAATTCATTGAAGGATAACAGAAATTGATTACTGTAGAATTAAATATGTTTTAAGGGGGGAAAGTGTTCTGAACTGTTCAGATCAGCCCTTCCCATCCTGGTGCCTCCCAGAGAAGTCTTCAGGTTCTAGAATTTCCAGCCAATGTGGATCTTACCACTGTACTGAAATTCTAGTCCCAATGTAGCTGAGGGCCATCTGGTCAGGAGAAGCTGGTTTATTGTTTTGATTTACGGTACTGCATATAATCCTATATGCAAGGGCATCTCCCTGGAGTTGTTGGGGGGGGGTCAGATATTGTACATCAAGATGATAGTTGTTACCATGAGATTGAAGTCCCACCTTTTTAAAAGTGCATTGAGATACAGTACTGTACAGTTCTGTAAACCTGACTGGGTTTGCATGCTGCACTAAGCCATCACAGTTGTATTGTAGTCTAATTGTACACTGCTCAGAGTTGGTTTTGAAATGGGGAGGCCTTATAAATCAAAATTATAAGCAGATATAATTAAAAATACAATAGAAAGGCAGAATCAACAGCTTCCAACTAGCTATGCTAGAAAACTAGAAAAATACATTTTTAGGATCCATCTGAAGGCTGAGATATCTAGGGGCCGTGAGGAGATCCATTAGAAAAGAGCTCTGGATCTGTGCAACCAGTGTTTCTCAACCTTAACAACTTTAAGATGTGTGGACTTCAAGGTTGGGAAACACTGTTCAACCAGCAGCCAGAAGTCCTCTCTTAAACCCAGCATCCACACTCTTATGTTTGGAATGATGTTCCCACAATGAATTATGTTGCCTGCAATGTATTAAGGTACTAACCATGAAAGATGCTGTGTGGCTTTTGCAGGGAGAGCAGCTGTGACTAGCTATAGTAAATATTTAGTAATATGAATTTACTACATACTTGAGTTTAGGATCTTATGAACTCGTACTATATCAACATTGTATGAAATGTAAGTTGGGTGTGGTCACGTGATGCCTCACTTAACAACTGTATCACTTAACAATGGACTTTCCGATCCCTGTGGTTATGACCCAAAGGCTACCTGTACTGTCTTTGTAGTCCTGCTCCTTTTCCTCCGTTACACCCTAATGGCCTCACTGACCTCGCTAGGCACATGATGCGTTATACCCGTTGAAATGCCTGGCTGCTATACCTAATCACCTGTATGTTCTAATTTGCTGCAACTGTAATCTCACCCCCCTTTAGGCTCATTTTGCCTCCAGCACTATCATAAATGAATCTGCTTGAATGTGCCCTGGTCTCTGGTTCAAACATACCTGGGAGGATTCTCTTACATTAATAGATGAAAAGTATCGCACAAGCCCTAAAATAGTCAGATTACAGGAAAGAATAAAGACAACCCTCCACCCCCCTTTCATGGATATGTGCAATGTGCCCCTACCCCTCCACATCCCCCAAATGTGAAGTATTCAACAGCCCCCCATCCCATCTTAACGTGGTGGCTGGTTCACACAATGCGTTAAACCTGAGAATCCCCACTCCCATTTAGTCTGCCACACTTCTTACACAGCCTGCTGAGAACGCCTGGCTTCTTGGCCAAGAGGGTGGGCCCCCTCCTCCAATATGAACCCCCAACAGGGGTGGCAGATTTGGGCAGGACAGAGGGCCTGGAGGGGAGGGAAGCAGCCGGGCCGAGGAAACAGTATTGGTTTAGCCAGGGAAGCGGCCAGGATGGGAATCTCTTGGGAGAGGCAGGAGCAGAGGAATTATTTTTCCTGATGGAGAAGAGTCAAGACTATAGGAAGACAAAGGCAGGGAGGAACCCACCATCCCAGGAAGACACGATGGCGCCAGCAATGCTTCTTGGACGAGGAAATCCTGCTGCACACGGTCCTGAGAGTTATTAGAGCTACTTGAAGGTATCAATAAGCTGCAGCATCCCTGTGTGTTTTTCTGCACCTTTTTCTCCCTGGAAGTGGAGAAGAGCAAACCCCCAAGCTTGGCGCTTTGTGCCCTGACCCTGGAGAACAGGATGGTGGAGGGAAGAGTTACACGGAGCTCCTCCAGGCCAGCCCAGTTCCCCACCACCTGGGAAGGGGACCCTGGGATCCCCCGGGGAGGAGGGAAGAGGTGCTACAAGCTGGAAGGGGCAGATCCACAAAGCCACTTGGAAGTATAACCCTTTCAAGCTGCACACAAATCTGGGCTGAAAAACAGGCAGCCTACACAACGGAGGTAGCAATTTAAATGTCCCCTTTGGGCCTGGGCCAGACTCGCAAACTCAGTTAACCCATCAGTAAAATGGCACCATGTCCCACTCAGTCCTAAGGGAGCTCATGTCTTTTAGAA